TGAATGAGGTGAAACAAAGTGAAAATTCACTTTGCAAAGAATACCCAATCATATGCTATTCGGTGAAATAACCATTTTATGTTGTAACCACTTTGATTTTAGTGAGTCTGATTAATTACTTTTAATGAGAATTCACACTTTGCAGTAAATTTTCACTTATGTCCCTGAATGAAACAAAGTGAAGGTTCATTTTGTAAAGTGTACCCAATCATGTGCAAGGAAATTAAACAACTGGATTTTTTGCTCGAACAAAATTGGATGATTACATTTAACACAACTTCACCTAATTTACTAGTCTAAGTCATTTTTTTTCTTTGCAAAGTGAATTTTCACTTAGCTTAATGAATGAGGTGAGCTTGAGGTGAAGTTGTGCTGACTGTCCAAATCATCCATAATAAGGACTGCTTTTCCAATTGGTGCCGTATCAATTTGTAGCAGTATTCACATTTTTGCATGTTAGCTGGTTTACACTTACATTAGTAAGCCCATGACAATTATTACTTTTATAAATATATATACCTATATGCACTCCACACTGTCAGTCTTAATTTTTTTGTTATTTCCTGTAAGTCATATACATACACAATTCCAGTGCGCCAAGCAACAACAACAAAAACTGCCTCGGGGAGTCCTATCTGAAGACACCTCTCCCATTGTAGAATAGATATATGTAGCAAAAAAAATTAGGGTTTCAGCCAAGCAGCTGATGATTAAACCTATTTGTTTTTACTCTTATTTTGTGTGTCGTCATCCCCCCAGCCACCCATGGGCATTGATAGGTATGTTCAAAAGCAAACTTGGGAGCTGGTTTGTGAGACTGCAATGGTCCTCACAGGAGTCCCAATAATTCAGGTAAAAACCATCTTTCACTGATGGCTTCTGAATAATGGATTACTGCTGCTGACCATTATGCTAGCTTTTCATATTGTACCTTAAAGGAAACCTGTCATGAGAAAACACGGAGGCTGCTATTACTGACCTTTCCTTCAACAACAAAAAAAAAGCTACTTGGCTGTCATGCTGACTATCCTTTCTTTTCTCTGGCTTACCTGATGTACTTACTTTCTATGGGGTTGTGAACTGAAATGAACTGATGTAAGCAGGTCAGCAGGTCAGCAGGTCAGCAGAAAAGAAAAGCAATTTGCAGTTTTAGAAGCAGGCCACCAATTGCAAACCCTCTATTTTTCTAATGACAAGTTTACTGTTAGCTCCCTGGTATATAATAAAATGTAAGGTCTAAATACATGCTTTATGTGGAATTTTTATTATTTGCATGTTTGCATTTATTAATATGAGTGAGAGCTGCATTATCGATCATCTGTCAATGTAAAATATAGCCTCACTCATAAATCCATTAGCAAAGTGCATTTAGGTGCCCTGATTTGCATACTATGTGTCTTATAAATGTAGTCATATCTAAAAAAATTATACATGTAATTACCTGACATCTCAGAATGGCTATATAAAACCTGAATATTGAGAAGGTGAGAATGTTGTATATATTAGGGTCATGTATAGCATGCAGATTATACTTGTCAGACAGGATGTTAGTGGTGATTATATGAGGACCAACCCCCTTTTCTGACTGCAGTCATTAAATGACCAATTTTATGAGGCACCTTTATAAAGCCAGTTTGATCCTTTACAGCTTTTGTTAAACTACAATTTTCATTGTTCCTGTCAAAAGCTCTGTCAAGGCAGGCTGGTACTTGTAATTTTACAAAGATCAGATATCAAAGTGTTTAGCAGTTGGTTTATGTGTGTGTGTTGGGGAGACACATGTATAATATAGATTTTGTTTTTAATAGGGATGACTTGAGGGACCAAGGGTTATTACTACTTGATCAATTGACCTTTTTTTAATTTCTCTTTTCCACCCACAATTTAACTTTTTTCTCACTCTTCTCTTTCTCTATTTTCCCACACTCTTTCTTCCTTCTTCACACTGTAGCTGTGCATTAATTCAACTAGATTCAGACCTCAGGCATCTCTATTCTCTCCTCCCCTATAATATAATTCTCATTTCACATTATTTCCTCTAATTGTATCTATTCCCAGTGTAAACTTATTATATTTTGTTTTCAGATCACCAGGTCAATTGGTAATTCATGCACACCCAATAAGCTTGACTCCTGTTCAACTCCGTGGCCCAACTGTTCCACCTAGTATTGTTGAAAAGCATTGCATATGGCCCAGATTCCCATTACCCTGCCACACATCTTAACTTGTCCCATAGACTTGACAAAAATTGCAGTAGGTGCACAAGTGACACTTTATTTGTATTGTCTGTACTGGTATGGCCTTCCCCATTAGAAACCAACTGCCTACACATGCATTCTCCTTGTCATGTGGGTACATAGCTTTTTCAAATTGATTTACTGTAATAGGAGATTGTGAGTTGTGGCTGGGGCCCCCTGGCCACTTGGTGATCCATCTGAGATATGTAAGATATGATTGCCTACATTTAGTCAACTAAAATATGGATTCTGTTGCCCCACATTGGACATTCACTTTTGTTCTTATTGTATATGCATAATGGCTGGGTTACTAAAGACATACAGTATGTTACAACAACATTAATACAGTAGATTTTTTTTAACATTTTGCTGGTATCTTTTTTTTTAAAGTACATTACCATCTTAAGAATGCAGGTGGTAGTTGTTTTGAAAAAAGTTAAACTATTTCTCCAGATGTCGTCTATTGAATTTTCCTTGGTGTTTTAGCTGCCAGGTTCCGTCAAGCTGGTTTTTGTAGAACATATAAGCCTATGCATTATACCTGTTTTCCTCTCATGGGGAAGGCAGTGGCAGAATGCAGGAACCTTTTTCTCTTCTCAAAGCCAAATCTTTCCATGCTTAGTCTCTAGCAAGCTTAGAAAAATAAGCTGCAATGTATTGAGGGAAGTATTTTCTAGTAGAAATGCTGATGCAGCTAACAAAGCCTTTACAAAAGAACATTTCTATTATATAGAAATTATTTGCTTATCACGTGGAACTTTAAAAAAATCAGACTTGTTAATAAAAAAATTCTATAGTATTTTAAGAGAATAGCTATGTTCTTGCAGAGTTCTTAATGCAGGTGCAAGTGTTACTAATTAAAGTAGATCTAAACCCTAACTCATTGACCTTTAGTTTGCTACAGCACTTTGAATGATAGATAATTTCCATATTTCTTTTTAATTTGTTTATTCTTTTTCTGCATTTCAATGCAGTAAATCTCATCTAGCTTCTTTGCATCCACTTCCTGTCTACATGCATGAACTCTAGCAGCAGCTGCATACCATTGTTCAGGATGGGCGTTCTGATTATGATGAAACATACCTGTGCAAATGAGTATCGGCACAGGCGCTTACAGTTTGCACCAAAAGTGAACAGGTGACAATGCAAGAGCCCTGTTAGGAGACAGGCAGAGGGTGCTGTCACCCTATAATGTAAGGTGCCTGAACAGGGGCCACCATGTCATGATCATCAGGTGTTAATTTAATGAAAGCTTTCACCTTTTTTGAGCATAAAGATTGAATTCAATTTTTGTGATTGGGTTAACATATACTTTAATACTAAACAGTTTCATGTTTTCTATTTGGGTCTGGTTTCCTAAGATCAGAGGCTCTTTTGTATGCAATGCTGGTGTTCAGTTCATGCATGCTGATTCATACAGGCAGTTGCCTTAACATACAGTGGTCTAGCCTTTAAGCGCTACCCGTGTGGGTGTTTATGTTAGTTAAAAAATCAAATATAACTCCTTTGGCAGAATTTCTACCTTAAAAAAGAATTCTGGGCATATTAAACCCCTGCACTGCAAGGGTTAACTGCTTCTTTTTGTCTAGGGTCTAATAAAAAAAGATATACTTACACAACTTATACATTATATACTTACAGCCTTCCTGGCTGTTAGACCGGGCTGTTAGTCCATGCTCCAACAATCTAAGTATCACTACCATCTCCACGTCCATTCACTTGTATTGGGCGTGAGGACTGAGGATCTGCTGAGTAAATCTATTACAATTAAATATGTTCTAAAGCAGGAGTGTCAAACTGAATTTAATCGAGGGACACATCAACATTATGGTTGCCCTTTAAGGGCATGTAAGACTATATAAATGTGTCTAATCTTTATCATAATTGCCTCTGCATTATCACTAGTTTTAGTAATAACTAATAACTAAATCTGAAAGTAAAACTCTAGGAAATGGCCTGGTGGGCCGGATTCGGCCCCTGGGCCTTGAGTTTGACACATGTGCTCTAAAGGATTTTGCAAAAGCATTTGTTACAAACAGTGTAAAAAAATAACCTCTGTCAGTCCAAACCAAATCCACCCTTTTCCGGTATGCAAAAACATTTTTGTTTTCTTTACCTAATTGTGTAAGTGGTCAAGTTGGATGGCAATAGATGACATCCTCTTCCATTGATTTCAAAGGAGTGAGGTTTATAGACTGTGCATTGCATATGCTTATTCCTGTCCTGAGTCTGTAGAGTACCAATTATTCTACAGGATCAATGCACACTAGTCTGCAGCATTCGGCTGTGCTTCCCCTTCGGTGAAGAGGGGGAGTGGCAGTGCTTTGCGCCATTTCAGTGCATCACACTGCTTACATTTTTCTTTTTTTTTATTTATTGAAGTTCATCAGAGTTAATGCACTGCAGCTGAGATGTGTTGCAGTGCCTTCAAGTGAGCTTCAGTGCATTGCAGAAAAAGCAGCATGTCTTTTCTTTCACAATAATTCCCCTGTCTCTCTGTCTGTCTGTTTTTCTATCTATCTATCTATCTATCTATCTATCTATCTATCTATCTATCTATCTATCTATCTATCTATCTATCTGTCTGTCTGTCTGTCTTTCTATGCATTTCACACTTGCTGGTCTTAGTCTTAGTAAATAAATATTCTAATAATAAATATGACTACCTGTTTTGATTATTGTCATAAATCAAGAAAGGGACATAAATCCCTTTCACTTAGATATTATTAATTTTAATACTACATTATTTTTTCATATTTGCAGCAGTCTTATGCACCAGCTCCTCACCCGATGGCTCCCCCCAGCCCCAACACAAACAGTAGTAACAACAGCAGCATCAGCAGTACGGAGCAGTTGAGTAAAACAAACCTGTATATTAGAGGACTTCCACCTGGCACGACGGACCAAGACCTCATTAAACTTTGTCAACCGTAAGTAAAATGTAAAATTGCATACTATATGTTTCTCAATACATACCGATGATTTTACAGGATTCATATGTAATAATAGCTTAAATGTTTTCAAAATGCAAAGCATCATAGAGACAGTGATTAAATATTTATGTTGCATGGAATGTTTACTATTTGTGAAGAGGAGACATGTGTGGGTTGATTTAATAATAGACAAGACATAGGCTGACATTTTCAGAAACTTCCCTCAGTTTCTGAAAATATAATGCGCACGTGGACCAAGCCTAAATCCTTTTTAATTTGGTAACTTACTTCCTATTACAATCTATGAAAAAAATAGCCCAGACCCCCAGCCTTTAAGTGATCAAGGGGTGGAGTTCCTTGGTCTGATTTTGTTTTGGTCTGACTTGACCTCATACTCTCAACCCTAGTAAAGAGCAATGATATTCAAAATATATCATCTTTCATTATTTTTAAAAAATAATGCAAACTGATTCATAACTTGCTTTTTTTAATTTACTGCATGTCTTTACTTTAATAAGATCAAAGCTTTATATGTATATGCAGAAATGAATGTATACCTACATGCATACATACACATCTCTGGTAATTTGTGAGTGTATATAAAGGTGTATATGATCTGTGGGGTTGATCTACTATTGTAGTAGAATATATTTAATTTGCAAAGTGAAAGTTAGGTTAGTGAATATAGTAAAGTGGTATATTTAATGTTTTCTGTTAACAAAATACCAGTGAAGGGGGGAGGAAGAGGAGATGCCAGAAAATAAGGAGAGAGGGAAGGTAGGGAGGTACCCGTGGAGACCAGACTTCAGAACCACATCATTCTGCAACTCAGCAATATTTATTTCTGTTTTGTACCCAATATTCAACCAATGTTAAGCCAAGAAATGTGCAAAAGTTGCATCAACAAAATTATCCAACCTCTTTTTTCAAAGGGAAAGTGATTTACTGTACTATTCATCCAATTTATCGTCCAGTGAATGAGGATTTCTTCTGATATTTACCAAAAATTTGCCAATTTTTTTCAAAGTAGGCGAATGTGTATTTCTTTATAGCATTGGAAGCATTGGAAATTCCTATGCCCCTTAGCTCCATCTAGTTGTGGTAGTTCTGTGCAAACAGCATTTGTCCAGCTTTACAATGGGTGGAAGATGTATACATCGGCCCCTAAATGTCGTCCGCTTAGGGTTTTGATCTATATTAAAGTGCTTATAGGAACAAATCTTAGGTCAATATTTGGTAAAATATCTTATTTCACCAAACACAGAAAAAAAATGGATAACCTCTAATGCTTAAATCTGTCTCCTATTCTGCTGTAGATTTGGGGTGAAAATTCTAGTGAATTGGAGGGAAAAGCTAATAATTTTTCTGCTTGTTTGATACATGCAGTGTTGCCCTGTTCAAGATTTATGGAAATGTAATGGTTCATAGAGTTATAGCTACAAGTAATGGAAGAAATGCTGACATTAATAGCATATTATACCAGTTTTTGTAGGTTTTTCCAGTTGATTATTTTTTATTTGAAATACTGTGTGTCACTCTGTGTACCATAAATATGTTGTAAAATATGTAGTTGTAAAAATATCCAGGTATGTGCAGGGTATTAACATTTTAATTGCTTTGTTTGAATGTTTGAAGTATGCTGAAATCCTGGAACAGTGTAAAAGTAATCCTTTAGTAAATCACTTACTCTTAAAGTGGACCTAAATAGCAATTTTTTTTAAAAGAACAAAATTGGGTTTGTGGCTAGTTATTACACTTACCTTTCCCCTGATTTTACCAGAGGAGCCTTGATAAAGGTGATATCCCTGGGAAGTGCTGAGTAGCTCAAATCCCGCAACAAAGAGCACTGCACTTTGTTGGAGCATCATCTTGAGAGATATTGGCTACTTAGCATTCCCTGAGATTTTGTCAGAATGAGAGTGTTACCCCCTACAGTACAGAAGCTGGGAGTAAGGTAAGTATAAAAACAAACTTTTTCTCTCCCAGGTTTAATATTTTGGTTTAGTGCAGCATTTTAGCAAGGGGGCCCTTACTAAAAAAGAAGACCATTCTTAGAGTGCAAGAGAGGGTAGACTTCAGACATTCTGGGAAATACATATGTTTTTGTCCTAGGTCATCTACAATGTCACTGCTAGAAACATTTAAAAGTAATAGTATTAGTATGGATCCCATAGGTACTATACTAAATTCTGTTTACCTCAACAACTTGCTTGCCTTCTCTCTTGAAACCAGTGTCTTGCAAACTGTCAATTTACAATCTAATCCCAGTGCATTTAAACTTGTTTATATGTATTCCAAGAGAAATGGTGTCAAAGGGTTAATTGAAAGCTTAGTAAGCCACATCTGCTTGTCCATTCTAAATTATCGCGTTATCTGGTCTCTGTTCAAGTGCTGCTGTTTACTCAGGAAGACATATAGTGATTCTGCTTAACATTTCTGAATCAATCTGGCAAAGTCTGAACACATTGAACACACATTGTGAACACTTTTAAAGTTGCATTTGGTCTGTTTCTTTCCAGGCTGTTGTTTCATGGCCTTGACAACATGTTCAAGGTCATAAATATGACAGAGATACTTTCACCAAACAAAAATGACAGATGACATTATGGACAGTATGATTAAAATGAAAGATATATATATCTATATATATAACGTTAAAAAAAATGCAGGATTGCAGTGTGCAATGATACCTTTCTTATTGGACTAACAAAATATATAAAATGAGCACTTAAACAAATGGGTGGGTTTCACTTAAACTAGTGGGTGTTTCTCAATGGCTCAGTGGCTGCAAAAGTGGAAATACACAATGGGCTGATCTAAAAAAATTAATTCTTCTCCTTCCCCAAGAATAAGAACATAATATAAGAGTATTAAAAAAATCCAAGGTTCCACGGTCATCCTCCCCACCACTTCTGGTCTTGTTGTCATCCCTCGCTCTGTCATCATGTACAATGCAGGAGCCTAGCAAAATAAGCACTATATACTTTATACTTACATTTCTAGGGTAGTGTGGAGTTCTTCTTTAAAGGAGAGCATAGAAAATAATTCTAAAATGAAAATAATGTTAATACTACTAATGGTTTCCGAAAATATACTGATGACAGTGTTAAAATAAAATCATATAGTCTTGTATGGTCTTCAAGTTGCCTTTAAATAGTTTCCTGTTTCATCTTTATTGCATACGTCCTGCTATTTATGATGTAGTGATAAGGTAACACCAACTTGTGGGTGCTGTCCATTAAACATGGTCTTAGACAGTTTTGACAAATTATCTATTGCTACAAAACCCCTTATCAATTTGTGAGCAACTTGTCAGTGTAATCTGTCAAGCTGCTGTGAAAGAACAGGAGGAATAGAGGCCATCATTAAATCATTTCATATACAAAAGTCCACTGCTGATACTGTTCGGGTACTACAATGTATTCTTGTCTCATATTTACCTTGTTTATTTATTATTCCTTGAATATAGCCACATAATGTTTACATTATTGATTTACTACAGAGGGTGGCAATTAAAAAATAAGTCTTTCTTTTTACTTTAGGTTGAATTAGGATTGTTGTTAAGCTTCCATGTAAAGTAGGTTTTTCAAGTAACAGAATGACAAAGTTATAGGACAGTTACCTTAAGGGGAGTCTGAGGTGGGCAGTCTCTCTTGCTGCTCCAATCCCAACACCCCTGAGAGTAGAACAGGTGCGTAAGGACAATGAGTGGCACAGGTGCCAGAGGGTGATGAAGATTCTGGAGGGATTGCATGCAGGATATGAGGGACGCAGGTGCTGAACGGCAGGATCCAGATAGCAGAATCGAGACAAGCTGGGTCAGCAACAGTATGGCAACAAGGTATAGAATCAGCAGACAGGATGTGGTCAGGAACAGGCTGGGTACCAGACTATAGGCAGAAGAGAAATCCAAACAGACTGAAGTCAAAGATGCAGAGCGGAAGCAGAAGGTCAAGATAAGCCGGTAATGGGTGATCAATCAGGTTCAGGAATACAATAACAGGGTACAGCTGGAGATATGTCAACATGGAGGCCAGGGTGTCTCAGCCATAAATAGCCCGCTCGGCACCACCATTCTAAATGAGAGCATGCCCACGTCTGTGTGCACTCACGAACATGTGCATGCCTTCGCAGAGACACATTTTGCGCAATTTTATGCACAGAACCATTCACAGGCCTATGCACATGTGCAGGTGCCTGTCCAAAACTACGGCTGTACAGAATGATTCTGGCTTCCTGACACAAAGGCTCATTGGATATGACTGTCTTGTTAGGAATTCAAACCAAACTAATTTATTGTGACTGACTATAGCTTTACACACAAGCATTCACTGTAGGTGAAAGAATCACTGTAATTTGAAACACATGCACCAAGAAGATACACCTGTAGTGGATGTTAAGTAAATGTCACATTCACTGCTTTATAATTACACCCCAAAATATTTTGGGTCATTTGTTTTTGGGAAATTTACATTGATTTGTATACGTATTCTCCTCCCTTTTCACATTTTGTAGTGTTACAACCTGGAAATAAAATCAATGTAAATGGAATTTCACGTCACTGACCTACAAAATAACAATTAATTATTTTGAAGTAGAAAAAAAGTGGAGATAGAGTTCCAAAAAGCTGAAATGCAAGGGTTAAATCTCTTTTCCTCCAGGCACTCTGCATCTGCAGGAAAAGAGGTTTAACCTTTGCATACGGAAGGTATTCTTTACAATCAGAGTTGTGAAAATGTGTATTAGACTCCACCAGGAGCTTTTTCTAGCTAGTTCAGATAACTGTTTAAAAAAAAATCTGGATGTATTCCTGAATTCACAGAATATTACTGGATATTGAGTTCTTATAGGTATATTAAGCACCAGAGATTGTTGATCCAGGGAATATCCGATTGCCTTATGAGATCAGGAAGACATTTCTTTCCCTAGTTGGAGCAAATTTAACCATGCTTTATAGGGGCTGAACCATGCTTTACACGCCTAATTGTGAAAACAAC